AGTGAAAGCTGGCTGTTGGCACTGAGTTCATTGAAGACAGAGGGGAACGTAGTTCTGCAATGTGGGCAATTCTTAGCTGACCAACAAAGCTGGTTTGGGCTACATAAGAATGCCCCAAAGCTTAAAAAAATATTTTTTTCATAGGAGAATGAAATTCGTCGAAGTAAGACTATCATTGTCTTTTTTTTTTTTTTAAACTATAGTTATTGGAATGGTAGTTTGTCCAAATCTTTAGTAACTGGAAATGAATCAGTGTTTCTTTTGTAAAAGATTATTGGTTTCCTTGACCTAAAGAAGATTATTTGTTTCTTAAAGATTTTTATCACAGAAAGTTATATTAATGTGGCCAGTTCACTGGGACTTCTCAACACATGTCTATCTTCTCTCAGTACTGGTATCAGAAAAAGATGAATGGAAATTAAAGGGGCAATAAAAATGATAAGGTGATTGCCATCTGTCTATAAACATGGACTAAAAGACTTACTGATTTGCTCTTTGAGTGTTTCATTCTGTAGTGTGAGCGCTTGGATCAGGGCCAAGTGAGGCTGTTGTTACTAGCAATTGGTGGAGCAGTAAGGGTGTATTTATCATTTTAAGTAGTTTGATTTTGTGGATGATTGTGTAAAAAATATGATAATTCTATTCAATGTTTGGGAGAGAGGTTTGATTTTTAGTTGATTTGTAATGCAGGAAATCGGTTTAAATAAGCATTGGCTTTTGATTTCTGTGTTAAATCATTCTTATCAGAAAAACTTCCTGGTATCCAAGAAAGCAGCAGTATGGGGTGCTTTCCATTCATGCCACTCCTTGTTCCTATAACAAAGGACCATGTTAGGTGTGGGACCCAGATCCAGGGGAAGGTGTGATGCATAATGTGAGTCTGGTAGGAAGAAAACAAAATAGAAAGTCTACAGTGGTCATGTTTATGATTCTTAGTGAGACCATGTCAGAGGGCACTTGACCCCATCTGGAGGGAGAGGGCACTTGACCCAGCCTGGAGAGAAAGGGCACTTATGACAGGCTTCAGTTTGAATTGGTTCTTGAAGTAAGAATCAGCTAATAAGGATGATAGTAGAGGAGGGATATTTGGAAGGTGCTGTCCTACAGTGGGGCCTCTCTCTCTGGCAGAGAGGATGATGTTGGGGACAGTGGGAACTTCTTGGTTGGTTCCTACGAGCAAGGTCCACCTAGGATCTTTATTCCATGATGAAATTTGAAGGTTTGTCTGCAGTGTGAATAAATAAATACTAAACAGATAGACCATAAAATTGCCTATTAGAGGATTATATTGACGATGTTGTATTCTGTTGGCAGCTCTGTGTTCCCCAGCGGTGAGCAGCATCACAGTAAGGTGGGAACAAAGATGAAAAGGGAAGTTAGCTATATGAGAAATGGACAGTTGGGAGAAAATCCAGCTTCACTTAGCTATCCATCTGGGGCAAGTGGCTAGAACAGGAAACACACAGGGCAAGCTTTTTTGGGGGAGGGCGATGGAAGCATATGCCTTCATTCCTTACAAAGGGGGGAGCTGAGATGGGAGACTATGGTGTCAGACACAAATTTTCTGTAGGTGCTTTGGAGCTTAGCATATCTGTACTGCAACGATACTTTGAATTGATACGGAATCTTTACTAGTGTACTTTTGTTTTGGCAAGCATGCTAGTTCTGAAGACTGGGAAGTCCAAGAATAGGGCCCATGTTTTTTTTTTTTTTTTTCAATATGTACTCATGTATCAGAAGGTGCACAGCAGCACTTAGACATGTTCATTTTGTACGTTTTGATAACGTCTTTGCGCATGGCACAGGCTCTTGACAAACCCTCCTGTACTTCCGGCAGATCTAAAACGCCCAGTTCTCTTGCCTCTGCCTTGATGGGTGCTAAGATCCCAGCTGTGCACCAGAGTGCCCTGCCATTCTTGAACCATGCTCCTCCCCTCCCCCTTTAAGTGCTGGGGCTTGAACTCACATCCTTGCAAATGCTGGGCATGTGCTCTACCACTGAACTGCCCTATGAGGTAGTTCTTATAAGGGCACTGATCACACTGACTCTTGTCTCCTGAACCCATCTCTTCCAGCCATCATTTGGGACGTTAGGATGTAGCACTCATTGGAGGGGGGAAATGTAAGCATTCATTCTGTGGCAGTGATTTAAGTCCAGTTCAGGATACTGGGTGCCTCTTAATTCTCTGAACAGAGGCCCTTAAGCTGCAAGAACTTCCCTTCTGTATCTTAATCTAGTTACTATAGTCATTGTGGTAACAACGGGAGCTTTATCCCTGGTTCCCTCAGAAATGTCCTGACTTAGGTCATCATCCAGGAAACATGGTTGTTGGCAGAGAGTGGTGGATGTATTCTGTCTAATCATAGGTAATGTGCCTTTACCTATCTGTAGTCTGGCATAAGAATGGAGAATTGAGCAGGGCGGTGGTGGCACACGCCTTTAATCCCAGCACTTGGGAGGCACATCCAGGTGGATCTCTGTGAGTTCGAGGCCAGCTTGGACTACCAAGTGAGTCCCAGGAAAGGTGTAAAGCTACACAGAGAAACCCTGTCTCGAAAAACCAAAAAAAAAAAAAAAAAGAATGGAGAATTGAGGCAGGTTGTCCGATCTGACACCATATTGAAAAGGTTTGTCACAGGAAATACTCTCTTTGAAAGAAAAAAAAAAAGGCTAAATGTTCTTGGGAGAAGATGACAGGGGCTCATAAAAGCTATGACGTCTACTTCTGTTCTATTCTCATTATCCTTGGCATTATTAGCAACATTTTTTGGAGTCAGCTGGGACACAAATGTCATCGTAAAGTCATGGAGCTGAACTTAGCTGTGAGGTGGTTGCCCATATAAAGTGGAGTATGTGTATCGGTGTATAGGTGTGTATTTTGCGTTTTGAGCTAAATTGGGATGAATGCCTCATGAGCCAAAACTACCTTGCAGACATTCCCTTCAAAATAGCCTTTTGCATTTTATTTTTCATTTATGTTTTGGCTGCATTTACTTTCTGTAATGGCAGAGTGTGGGAGTTGCAACAGAAAGTTTGGGGGTTACGAACCATAACATATTTACTTTCTGCCCCTTGATGGGAAAAGTTTGCTAGCCCCTGCTTTTATTGGAAATACCCAGTCTGAAAACTTGGCTGGCAGATGTTCGAAGGAGAGCACATCTGGTCCCTTTAACCATCCCTGACTGGCTGAGAAAACAGGTCCGGGATAATTCTTAGGAGTTGAAGTTCAAGGTCAGACTTGTAATATTTTACCAACTCTTCGTCCCTTCACTATCCGGAAACTCTTAGAGAATTTATTGCACATGCTGCCCACGAGACCAGGATAGCAGGGAGTGAGTGACTGCAAGACCCCCATGCATGCTACTGTGGACATTGCAGGCTTTGTCCCTGTGAACGTTTTGATCTAGTGTGTCCGTGAATGTGGTTTTCATGCAATTGTAATTTTATGTTGGTATAAATATTGTGTATTGTATACAATATTTGTATATTGGTTTTCTTGGCTTTGTCTGTGGTCCTGACCCTTATTCTGGGTCTGCAGGAAGTGCTCCCTGCTATCTCCTTTCTGTAGACGTCACAGCCTCTAGGATGCTTATATGGCTGTACGCATACCTGCTCCTCTTTCCCCAGCATACCTGGGTTTCCCAGCCATCTGCTGCTTTGTTAAATGGTTCTGGGCTGCTTTTCAGTGTGCTCTCCAAGTGTCCTGCTTGACCTGCCCGTGGGCATCTCCTGGCCTTGCTTTTGCTCTGCTTTAAGCAGTTCTTTGGTATTCGTCTGGTATCCGTTGTCTCGCGAGGTCGGTCTACTGGCCCGAGTTTTCTGTGATTGAGGTTTTGACACCGACAAAGTGACTCTACATCATTGCTTACTTGTTGACAGCCTCCTCTTGATGCCTTTTGTTCTTCGGGTTACCTGAGAGGCACCCTTGAGAAAACTGGATAATGTACTGTGCTGACGGTCCCGTCCCCTCCTGAAAGGTTTCCTTCCATACCCTGATATTAAGTCTCTCTCCTGACGCAGTAAGCCAAATCAAGCCAAATTAAAACTAAAAGACCAGGTTTATTGGCAGAACACTCCTGGGTGATTTTCCAGGCCCCCAGAGATGAGAAGAGACCTGGAAAAACCACGTGGTCCCTCTCTAGGAGGCAGTTTAAATACCCTGTAGGCGTGGTCTTGAGCAGCTGGAGGGAGGAGCCACTGCTTGGCCTTTCTGAGAGGGGCTGGGGTTTGGAATGGGGGAGAGTGAGGCCCAAGGGGAGCTTCCAACTAAGCATCCGCCTGCCCCCAAGTGGCAAGGGAAACAGCCATGTCATGTGGTTTTGTTCTGATCGGGGCTGAATATCTTTCATACTATCCGAGTCCCAGATAGTATCTCTCATTTGTCACCTGGTTACAGTTTGCATATGATTGTCGTCCAGTCGAGAGAAGTCAGTGTCAGGCAAGGCTTAGATCTGGTTCTTGTGTTTTTTCCAGGAATGTTGTTAACTTACGTAGCTAGAAATAGACGTTTTGAGAAACAGCAGCAGCTGGCCTTGTAAAATCCATAGCTCAAATGTAGGTTTGTGGATAATCCGTGGATTAACCCTTACTCACTGAAAAATGCTGCCAGAGATAGGATTTTTCAATGGTGAGTTTTAAAAATAAGTGATTTTTAAATATACAGAGTGAAAATATAAAACATGTTGAGTAGGTGCAATGCATTTAGCTAACTACAACCTGAACTGCTTAACAATAAAAGTTAAAAAAACCCTGTTAGCTCAATTTTTAATAAGAGCTCATTAAAAAATCTTAATTTATAAGACATAGCAAACAATTTGTATAATCGCATACAGTTAAGTGGCGAGCTTTTGATTTAGAGGTAGTGAATTCAGTGTAAAATATTAAGCTAGAGGAGGCATGTTACAAACCAACATATATCATGATGCTTATTTAAAGGGTACCATAATAGTCTCAGTTTGTGATAGTTCAACCCCAACATTAAATTTTACGAGCAGATACATAATATTTACATGCGTTTATAAGCAATTCAGTACTTGCCGCAGTCAAAGGGGAAAAGTCAGTGCAGGAATCCCACAGAGGCCGTAAACTTGGTTCTGGTGTTTCGAGGTCTGCTGTATTTCTCTAGTTACTCACTGGGTTTGCCAGGGGTGAATTGCTGATGTTGCTAGAAGCCAATGATCTGAATGTCTCCAGGAAGCACTTATATTCTGGAAGGCTCGGAGGTACTTTGATATCAGCAAACTACTCTATAGGAGCAATAGGAAAGTATGCACTGTTGAAATCGTATCCATAAAACCAGTGTTCACGTTGAAGTCATGCTGCTGGTTTATAGGCTTTGCTTGGGACTCTTGGTTTTATGTGATAAGTTGAGGTAGAGTTCTCCTCTCGGGGGGATTCCTGTCTGAACTCAAAAATTCTGTGGGCTTTCCAGGCACCGTGGCCTGTTTGAGCTCTTGTGAGAGAAGCATGCCTTCCAACACAGGTTCAGGATACCTGGCAGTCCCTCTTTTAGGTAGGTGCTCCTCTTTGGATCTTGCATCGCACTGCATCTCTTCAGAGCTTAGTTCAGGATGAGTTCGGTGCACAGGTGTAGGCTGGAGTTGCCTCAGCTCTGAGGGTGTTGGCTCCTCTTCCAGGTAGCCCAATGCTTCCATCTGTAGTCATTTCCAGTTTATAGTTTACACCTGTGTCAGGATCTGAATGATTTATAGAGACTGTGAGCATGATACATCAAAAATACATTGAAAAGAAAAAAAAAAGTTGTGTGTTGTAATTGTCTAGAGAATAAGAAAATGAGAAAAAAAAGAAAAAAAAAAGAGGCCGAATGAAAATAAGGACAAAATTGATGGCATTTGCCTCTTGGCCTCCTAGCCACAGATATTTGAGGTTTATAAGTTTTCTAAGAATAAGGAGGCTCAGACTTTGAGGATCATGGGAAGAGCAAATTTAGACTGACAGAGAAGTTCTAGACATAGGTAAAGCTTTATGGAAACACAAATTGTAATATTAAAGAGTTCTGTATTTATGTACAAACTAGATTATTGCATCTTAATGTTGTATAGGAAATAACATTTTAAGTTCTTGTCATAGTTTAATATCATTAGTTCCCTTAACCCAATAAGGTAATCATTTATTCCTCTTTATGATTGAGAAAACAAAATTCTGTGAGGTTATACAATCAGTCTAACGTCATTAGACTGATTAAATTATGAATTTATTAATGATGAATCAGATGTGAACCCAGTCTTATCTGCCTGCAGGGCTAAGGCTTTTGACATCACCCCATTACAGCATGGGATGGAGGAGCTTTTAGGGTATCTGAGTTGCAATGCTCTTTTCTTCCACTTAGTAACTTTGTGAGCATGTGCGTTTACTCCAGCAAGTATTCACTTTGTATTGCCCAGCTTGTTTTCGCAGGGTATGCAGAAATGAATCCGAGTGAATTCCTGCTTTCAAAGCAGCTTTTTGTGTGTGTCACAGATCCCTTTGGCCATCTGGTGAAAGCTGAGCCTCTGCTCTAGGGAAAAAAAATGTCTTAAAATGCATAAAACAAAACACGTAGAAATAAATATATTGGAATACATTTACCAAATGATTAGAAGTCAGATACACTCTCTAGTACTCCATCTTCATTAAGCTATGTAATAGCAGAATAAAGTGGCAGGTCCGTTAGCAGCCATCACATTGAAGTATTCATAGGCATAAATAATTTTTTTTTTTTGGTAGCACTGTCACACCCGTCTTGTGGTAGAGGCACATCTGTGGTGTTTGACTGGTGGCAGAATCCTTGCCATGCTTTGTTACCTTCATTGACAGGTGAAGACGATGATGAGGTGTTGAGGGAGACAAATAAAAAGAAGGCAACCCTTTTGCTTCCTATCCAAGTGCAGGAATTCCGTGAATTCTACTGCAAACCAGGATGCCGACCAAGAATGCATTTATTAAAAAAGCAACACAAAACACTAGGCTCCCCAGAATATACGAATATGTTTCTTAGGCTTTCACTGCTGTAACTTTGGTAAGTTTGGTGGAGGTCAGTAAACATCTGAGAAAGTACAAAGAGGCCAGCACCTACTATTAACGTTATTAGAACCCCAAAGCCTAGAGTCACCTGGTTCAAGATTACCCAGGCAGAATGTTGGGGTATTGTTTGTTTTGTGTTGGGTTTTGGTAAATATTTATATTAACTCAAGGGCCTTAGCCTTTAGGTATGTTTCATAGATCAGAAAACATCACCGCTTGACTTGATTTTGGTGAATAGTGAAAATATGGTGGAAAAAAAAGTTTGTCTAAGAAACTGTTTGAAAGTCTAGTCTTGGCTTGAGTGGAGTTTAGAGGGGTTTGGGAACAAAATGTTGAAAACTGCTGATTTGAATGATCTGTAATTTTGATTTTCACCTGGATTCTTTCAATGAAATAGCCTTGATGTGTAGAGCACATTGGAGTTAACATAGTTCTCCATATGTTCTAACGCGATACATGAAGAAAGTGGAAGTAGTTGGAGAACATGAAAAGCCACACATGACCGATTGTTTGCTAATATGGAAATATGGAAAATGTCCTAAAAGGGAACTGCTGCCTCATCTCCAGTGGATGATGGCGTGAAAATTTTACGCACCTTAGATCGTGAATCACTGAGAGGTATTGCTTTGGGACCAGAAGAATAGAATGAAATATTATTGAGGACTAGGGATGTAGCTCAGTGGTAGAACACCTAAGTGCCCTAGGTTTAATCCTTAGCATTACAAAAGCAAACCAAAGAAATAAAGACTCTGTGACTGTCCCCCATGAAGGAAAAGGAAGGGTTCAGAATTTTATCAGAACCTAATCCTAGAAGAAAGGCTCCTCACAAACACTTGAATCCTGTTCTTCCTCTATCACCTGTCACCCTTTGTCACCCTTTGTCCTCAGCCAGACCTCTGTCGCCTCCTCTTCCTTTTCCTGTTCTATGTTTTTTTTTTTTTTTGCGTAGCTCTTTCTTCCTCATCTAATTTCCTCTCTATACCCTTCTTCCCTTCCTGACCATCTTCTGACAGCTGATGTCAAACTTGGGCTCGGCAGGCGCCACCTCACTGCTTATGGTGCTATGAGAGATGTTTCTGTATGTTATCTCAGTCAGCATAAACTTCAGTGAAGAGATGCTCACCTTAGGTAGCCCAGGACATTTGATGGACAGAGTAACATGTGTGCTAAGGAAGGGGGAAGGCAGTCTTAGGGGTGCTATGAATTGCCTCGCTTGGAAAGAAGATTTAGGAAACTGCACGTTATTCTGGGTGACCAGAGAGAAGGGTATGTTTTAGGGAATAGATGGTGTAGAAATGCACAGAAGTAGGCAGACATCTGTTTGTGGTGGGCGCTTGGTGAGCCAAGGAGCTGAACTGAAAGCTGTAGGGGAACTTTTAAAGGAGGGATAGATGCATGGCATATGTGTGCAGTGCCGGAGCAGGCCAGAAAAAGGTATCAGAACCCCTGGAACTGGATTTAGAGATGGTTGTGAGCTGCCATATGGGTGCTAGGAAATGAACCCTGGTCCTTTGAAAGAACAGCCAGTGCTCTTAACTGCTGAGCCATCTCTCCAATCCCTCAAGACTTAAATTGTAGGAATCCTCGGACAGAAATAGAATAGATGGTGGAAGACTAATTTGGAGGTACAGTGGACAGGTAGAACTGTTCTGTGCTCAATCCAGAGTTGTAACTACAGCTGAGGCATGATGAGAAGGAAGTGGACCCAAGGGAATAAAGACGTTTACTCTACCAAATCTGATGACTGGACATGGGAAATGGTTGGAAAGTACTTAAGGATCTACCACAGTTTCAGATGACCTTCCAACTATCTGTGTTATCTTCTTTGGGCAAACACACAGAGGAGCCTGTGTAGAGGGGGCAGATGTAGAGTTACTTTTGGGCGTGTTGTCCTTGAAACTCCGTTGACCACCCCCCCCCCTCAATTATAGTAGAATTTCAAACAAGTGTGCAGGCAGATGTATGTCTCGTACCTGGTCTTTTCACTGCATTTAAGCAGAGTGTGTCTGTGGCTCTGCAGTGGTACAGTGCTGTGGTGCTTCTAACCTGCAGTGGCCTTCCTGCAATGCCTGGAGACAGTTCTGTACTGAGAGGAGAGAGAGCAGATAGAGAGAGGGTAGTGCTCTCTAGTCCTAGGGACGGGAGCAAAACTTCACAGTTATAGCATCCCAAAGGGCAGGAGCTGGTGGGTTGATTGAGTCCCATTGGAATGTTCCTAGCAATGAGGAGTTTCTCACCTCCGCCCTCTGGGGCTGCCCGCTGCAACTCTTCCGGCTGATTCCTCATCCTGGTGTGAATCTGCTTTCCAGACAGAGGTATGATATGGTTGCCGATATTACTTGTGGGAGTAACAGGTGAAGGATAATTTGTATATTGTGTTCTGCAAGAGGCTTATCTTCGGCATCTAAATTGAACAAATGAAAAGAGGCTCTTGAAAACACTGGAAACCTTCAGAGAATGCAGAGCAGGAAATGAAGGGCACGGAATACTTGAGAAATCTTCCAAGTACCCCTATTAATTATCTGGAAGGCATTCACCGAGGAGATTGTTTAGCACTGACATGTCAGGCATTGTACTGGGTTTGAAATCATAAATTGCCACCCCAGTTTCAAACTTACCCTACACTGTATATTATTGAGGAAAAAAAAAACCCTAAACGTAACCCCCCCAAAAGACGTTATATCAAATAAATTAGTAGTGAAACTTCCTAAAAATTCAAACACTTTATTACCTGATTCATACTCTATATTTCCTTTTCTTCCACTCTGTGTGTGTGCCTACACACATGTGCTGTGTACATGTGTGTGCACATTTGTTAGCATGTGCTACACCATACAAACGAGTCTGGAGACCAGAGGTTCAGTTCAGGTGTCTTGCTCTACCTCTCAACACCTTAGTTGTTGGCACAGAGTCTCACACAACCTGGAGCTCTTGCTCTTCGCAGGTTGGCTGGAGTAAGTCCAAGGCATCTGCTCTCTGTTCCCCTTGGTACTGGATTCTAGGCATGTACTGCCATGTCTGCCCTTTACAATGGATGCTAGGGATCCAAACTCAAGTACTTATGTGTGCATTGCAAACACGTTATACCCCGAGTCATCTCCCCAGATCCTCCAACTTTCTTAATTAAAAAAAAAAAAAGTTTTGTAGGATATGGTAACAGTGGGCTCATAGTCTTACAAGGGGCTACTTAGCAGGAGCAAAAGTAGTTGTCCCTTCATAACTGGCTTTATAGATGAGGCAACTTCAGGAACACTGGAATTAGTCCACATTTCCCGAAGGTGTGTGCAGCTATTGTGGGGTTTGATTTCCTGTTTCATTTAATACAATTACAAAACACCCAAACAGTGGCCTTGATGTTCTTCTATCCTACAGGATATTATGTACATCACAAACTAAACCAGATAGAAACTGATGTTGCTTAGATGTGGGCGAGCTTGAGCTCTGTGAACCCCAAAGCATGCTGGTAAGAGCAAAGAGCATGCTTACTTATTTAGGCCAGGGTTTTAATTCCTAGATTTTTACCCAGGGAGCTACAGAAGCTTCAAGTAGTTTACTGGTCGCCACGTACCTATGAAATGATTTGATCTGGCCCTGGATCCTTGGGGGTGGGCCTTTTATAATATTGAGAAGATTAAGAGTAGGTTTGCTGTTGGGGTTCATCTGAATTCACAAAACGTGGATTTTCTATTTGTGTGATGGACCTTAGGACCAGTGTAGTTTGGGTTGTGAGGACTGGCCAAAGAGCAGCAAGTAATAGGATATGCTGAATAATTCTAAGGATGCCTGCCATTCTTGAGCCACCCACCCACCTGTTCTTAGCCTGTTTTACTTCCGGAGGGTTAAATTTTCACAGGACAAAGGGAGCTTCAGCTAGCTTATGGTATTTACTGAAGTTTGGAGAAAGTTTCTTCTGATCTACATAGTAATTGTATGTCCAAATAAGCAGAATAGGCCTATAGTCTTAGGAAGTAGAGCTACAAATGTCACATCTGTGCCCCCTGTGGTTTCTGGAGTTCAGTCCTGTTGACTATAATTAAGGAGAAGGGCTTTCTCCTTTCGGCAAGTATGTGCATGACCCTGATTGTGACTATTCTGGAATTAATCCATGTCTATAGGTCTTTGCTTGTTATATTTTAATAAGCCAGAGTCATAAAATGCCGAAATATAAATAAGAGAAGACTGAAACATCTTGGCTGTACAGATCATAAACTCTTGGAAAATAATCTATCACCACACAGTACAGATGCCACAGCTTTGGGCAAATGTTTCTTCCTCTTTATACCTAAATCACCCCAATTCTACACCTAATTACTTTCAAAGTGATTTCCTTTGGTCCTGTGCTTGAGTGAGAAGAGACGACTCCATATCGCTTAGCATGATGTCATAATTCAGAGGAAAACACAACGTTGGCCCCACCCCCTGCCTTTAACTGTCATTCATTGCCAGTGGTGCATGATGGAGATACTGCTGCACACTTCTGCTAACAGCCCAGGGATCTTTGGCTTCATCACAGGAAGGAATTTCAGTCTGTGTGAAGCCGAGTTGGCGTTTATTAAAATACATTTTTGACATATAGTCTAAGCACAGGGACCAGTGAAGAGCTACTCAAGAAAAGATTAAGACATACCTATGTTCGGGCCTGAGCCTCTCAAGGGAATGTCATAATTGTCTTTACAGTAGCCATATGTATTGTTTTTGTTTGCTTCTGAAGGCACATCTTAAATGGTTACTAAGCAACCTTTTATTTTTCTGTAAATGAGATCATAGGGTGGTTCCTGATGTGCTTCGAATGGGATTGATGCTGTTAAAGTCAAACCCTAGGTCACAAGAGTTGTAAGATTTTTTTTTTTAATTTGGTATAAATAGAGGTTTAGTCTTGTTTCTGATATTCCCCGATACTATAAAGGAATGACTTCAGGCTGTATTTGAAGGTAATATGTGAATGAAGATTAGGGCATGACCACTCCTAGGGATGGTTGAGGAGATAGTTTTATTGACGATGTGAAGGAGAGAACAGCCAAAGGCATCTGGAAGGGGCCAGACTGAACCAGTCCATGAGAGGAGAGAGGAGGGGCCAGAACCAAAGAAGAGAGAGGGAAGAGGAGAGAAGACCATCTGGGAACCAAGAGGGTTCCTAATCAAAATGGCTGAGTTATACAGGAATCGGAGACAGGGAGAAGGGAAGGCCAGCGCCTGGGTGGGAGAGGTTTAGTGTAGGGGTAGGGTGAGAAATGCTGGGAGGAGGCGCAGGTAGAGCAAGGCTTGTCAGGTTTGAGACTTGACAATATGTGCTTAGGCCGTGAACACACTTCACTGCACTTTTAACAGTCTTCTGTATAGAGAAAGGATACTGTCCTCTGTCAGGACCTTTCATAGCAAATGTTAATTGTGACGGAATTCTTTTGTGGTTTAGATTTATTTTATTAGTTTCAATTATATGTATGCGTGTGGGTCCGTATATGCGCCATGTGCACGTGAGTGCAGGCGCCTATCCTGTGCCCATGGAGGCCAGAGATAAATGTTCCCCCAGGAGCTGGAGTTACAGGTGGGTGTGAGCGGCTTAAAATGCATGCTGGGAATCAAACTCAGGTTCTCTGGAAGAACCTCAAGCATCTTAAACACTGGGCCCCTTACCGTAGCTTCTGTGATGGAATTTTTGATTCTCAGCAGGTTATTGGCTTCATTTAGACTTCTCTCCCTTCTGTTATTCCTTTAGCTTTCCTTTCTATCTCCCCTCACTTCTTTATTCTTATTCCTGTAGCACTGCCGGGTCTGTGTATAGATGCGTCTTTTGTGGACTGTTCGTTTTAAGTAGAAATATTTAATGGGGGGGGGTGTCTTTCATCATTGCCCTCTTTCACATTGGAAAATGTTTTCAAGGTTTAATTACAGAGCAAGTGTCCACAATTCTATGATCAAATAATCTTCCTTTGTGTACACTTTCTACATTTTATCTATTGTTAGTGATAGACATTGAGGTTGAGTTGCGTTGCTTAGGCTGTTGTGGACCCCGCTTGAGGGTAATAACAAAATATTGCTGAACTATTTCTTTTTGACTTTTGGAGGGTATGTGCCTAACAGTGGCATTTCTGACCATTTGGTGACTCTGTTTAGCCAGTTGGGACATGGTTTCTAAAACAGTCCTGTTGTTACTGGAGTCCTAGGCCAGAGGACAGACTCTGGGGCATCCCATCCAACTGATTTCAGGGAAACTCATCTCCAAAACCAAAGAGAAAATGCAATGAATAAAAGCATGAGGTTAAATTTTGGTTTATGTGTCACGCCTCACACCCAGTGGCCAGACAGAGGGGGATGGGGCACTAAGATTTATTTGGGTGCAGAAAATGAATAACAAGATGATTGAACAAAATGTCTCACCTCTGCTGTGTTTTGGCTGTTAAGTGTATCCGGAAAGAAAGCAAGAATAGAACTAATTGCTCATCAGGAGACGAGGAACAGATATAAGTGGTTTGGATACACATTTAAATTAGATTACATCTACTGAGAAGATTTCTAAATGGAGTTAATTTGAAAGGACATACAAGTCATTGGGTTTAATCTGTGTGCGTTCTCCTCAATAGCTCTAATCCCCCCTCCCCCAGCTTCTTGTAAATAAAAGTCACTCTTCAGGAGAACATTTTACCTCCTTGTTCCCGGGGTGGTCTCTGATGGCAGCTGTTAGGTGAGTTGACAAGCTTAGCTTAGGAACCCCATTCCCAAGTAAGAGACGAGAAACATACTTAGGTACGTTTTTTCTCCCTTGAGATAGTTTCTTGCCCAGGCTGTCTTCGATCTCTGTGGCAAAGGATGACCTTGAACGTCTGTTGCTCCTGTTTTCATGTCTCAAGTGCTTGGTTTATGTGCCCTTTGGGATCAAACCCAGGCTTTCATGCACGTTGGGAAGCCCTCTACCGAGCGAGGCACATCCCCCGTCTGAACTTTTTTTTATAGACCAGAAAACAGGGACATTTGTACTGAGGAACATGGAAATTCAAAAATATGCACATTTTCCCTCTTGCTTTCAGGAAAGTTTAAATTCTGCTTTGAAACATTTCTGTTGGTTCTTCTGAATTCATCAAATTGTATTTTGATCAATTTTGGTATTAAAATTTATGAAGTCTTTTTATTGTAGCTTCCTGCTGAATATATTCCAGGGATAAGTTTGGACTACCTATCAATATTTGGGAGACAGGAGATGTTAGGGAAGGAATCGGGTTTGTTGAGGGGCAGAGCTTTATAAGGTGGGGTTGAGCTGGGGGTGGTGGCACATACCTTTAATCCCAGCACTTGGGAGGCAGAGGCAGGTGAATCTCTGAGTTCGAGGCCAGCCTGGTCTACAGAGTGAGTTCCAAGACAGCCAGTGATACACAGAGAAACACTGCCTGGACCCCCCTCCCCCCGAAAAAAAGAAGGTAGGGTTGAACCTTAAAGCTCTCTGGTGGCACAAAGGGCTTTGCGAGAGAGGGAAAAGAAGCAGAGTGTCTGAGTTTCTTGCTGTGTGGTGTCTGTCACCCAAGTCTGAGTCTCAGTCTGTTATCCAACTGGAACATAGAATGAATTTTGACCTCCAGAAGCCAGTTCCTCCTTAAAAATTCATTTTTTTTTTTTTTTTTTTATTGAGACAGGCTGTTACTTATCCCACAGTAGCCAAGAACCCCTAGATAGCGAAGAAAGACCTTGAACTTTTCTCTTGCCTCTTCCTCCTAGGTAGTGGGATTGCTGGGTGCACCCCAGATGACTTCTTATACTTTCTTAAATTGCTTATTTGTGAGTGAATGTCACAGTCATGTCCAGAGTCAACAATAAAGGAGGGATTATACAGACATTGTATCGGATGTGAAAGATTGTTGGGTTGTCTGTTTATTCATTTATTTGGGGACGGGATTTCTCTGTACAGATCAGGCTAGTGGTAAAATTTGCAGTCTTTCTGCCCCAGCCTCTGGAGGACGGGGATTTTGAAAGAACAATTATTCTGCCATTGTAGGAGTGTGGCTTCTCTTTAGAATTTAGAATGTCGGCTGAAGGAAGGTTGGGGACTTTGGACTTGCAAGGATCAGGGAGAGAGGGAAAAGCAAAAGGAGAAGGAAGGAAGGGTCAACAGCAAAGCAGTGGCCTGTGACAGAGAGGGGTGGGGCCTCCTGTCATAAAATGGGCCCATTATTCAGCAAAAGATTCTTTGTATCAAAGTTCCTGTGATGCAATCTCCAAATACCACGGAGTAAGGGGACAAGTGGGTGATTTAACAAACTCCTTCCAAAACAGTCCCAGTGGGTTCTGGGAAAAGAAGATGGAGATAACAATTAAAGTGGGCACACTGTTTAAGCATTTATGGAAAAGCCCATGCTTCTTCTAGGACTGGATTTCTAAGACTTGTGCGTGTCTGTTTACGTGAGATGACATGTTTCTTCCCAAGTTCTTTTCTCTCCACGCTTGGCCTTGGCCTCATTACAGCAACACAGAATGAATAAGTCAGGCTGCATCCTCCCGGGAATGAGGAAATGGAAGTGCTGAGATGGCAGCGACCCACCTAGATCTGCCTTTTGGCTCTTGAGAGATGGGGACAAGAATGTGTGTTCCTGATGTTCTTAGTGCTTTTTCTCACCTACCCTGTGGCTGTTAGACTTCTGCTGGGTTGCTTCTGGAATAACTGGGAGGCTTTTTCCCCTTTGTGTATTTTTCAAATTGTTCAGCGGCTCCCCTGCTCCTGCCATTATGAAGACTCTCCTGATGAATTATGCAACAGCATTTGACTTAAAACAGAAAAATCAAAGGACTTGGACTTAAGTAGTATTCTCGCACGGAAGCATACCACTTCTTACACGCTTTTCTTTTCCCCTGGAATTGTTTGCAAGGGATGATTTAAATACCAGTGTGAAAGCTCATATCATTCTGTTGCTTCAAGAATACATGATTTACTAAGCTGTGGAATAGAGATAGTTTTAAAGAAAAAATTAGCTTCAAAGGGATTAAAAAATGCCAGTCCCTACCACATTTCTATGAGGTGTCACTTAAATCCATCCTACAAAACTTGGTGGATTTTGACCAGGAGCCTGCTGTATATGTGATTGTCATTGAATGTGTTTCACCTTAACTCATAGTAAGGCCGCAGACTTTTTACATTTTTCATTACAAATGCTTACTCATGTGTTGGGGAATATTATTTTAAGGTATGTTACTTTTGTTTACGTTGCATTTGTTTAACTCTGTGAGGCTGTGTTACTGTGCCTGTCTAAAACACCTGATGTTCTAATAAAGAGCTGAAGGGCTAATAGTAGGGCAGGAGAAAGGATAGGCAGGGCTGGCAGGCAGAGAGAATAAATAGAAGGAGGAATCCGGGAGAAGAGAAATCTAGGAGCAAGAGAAGAAGGAGGACTCCAGGGGCCAGCCACCCAGCTACATAGCAAGACATGGAGTAAGAGTAAGATTTACAGAATTAAGAGAATGGGAAAAGCCCAGAGGTAAAAGATAGATGGGATAATTTAAGTAAAGCTGGCTAGCAACAAGCCAAGCTACGGCCCAGCATTTATAATTAAAAATAAGTCTCTGTGTGTGATTTATTTGGGAGCTGGGTAGCGGGCCTCTCAAAAGAGCAAAGATAAGCAAACAAACAACACCACTCATCGTTTCTTCCTAGTATCTACCATAGAGGTTTACACATGGTAGGCAGTCAGTAAACAGGCTGAATGAGTAAATGAATGGATGGATGAAAGTTCAG